TGGGGCCAGAATTGGATATTGTCCTAATAGCAGCTTTGTGTTGAGTAATTAGAGGACGTAAGTGATTTTGGGTAGTAGAGCCCCAAGCACAAATACCATAGTTGAGATATGGATAGATAAGGGAGTAATAGAGAGTCACCAGGGCAGGGCGTGGTACATAATATCTGATCTTAGAAAGAATGCCCACAGTTTTTGAAACTTCTTTTTATATATTTAGAATGTGTCCCTGGAAATTCAGCTTGTGGTCAATGAGAATGCCAAGGAATTTGCCATCTAATTTGTTACAAATTTGGGTATTGTTTATTTTGAGATTTATTTGATTAGAGGATTTATTGCCGAACAGAATATAGAAAGTTTTGTCAATGTTAAGGGTGAGTTTGTTGGCAGTTAGCCACAGATGGACTTTATTTAGCTCAGTATTTACTGTGGCATTTAGAGCAAGGGGATCAGGACTGGAGTAAATGAAGGTTGTGTCGTCAGCAAATAGGATTGGTTTGAGGTGTTGGGAGGCATTTGGAAGGTCATTAATGTAGATGAGAAAGAGGAGAGGGCCAAGTATGCTGCCCTGGGGAACACCAATGTTGATGGGTAGGGTGGGAGAAATTGTATTATTCACAGAAACACATAGGAGCCTGTCAGTAAAGTAGGATTTGAGGTATTGTAGGGAGTGTCCTCTGACACCATAATGATGTAATTTAAGAAGAAGGTTATGGTGGTTGACAGTGTCAAAAGCCTTACGCAGGTCCACAAATAACCCAACAGGGAACTCATTTATTTATTTTATTTTATTTATATATATACAAGAAGGTACATTGGGTTTGTGAGAATACATTGGATAGTACAGTAATTACATTCTTGTAAAGCCACTAGTACGCGCAGCGTTTCGGGCAGGTCCTTAATCTAGCAGATAATTTTAAGTAGGTAAGTTCAATCAGAACTGATACATGAAAGGTACATTACAAGAGAAAAATGAGATGAGAGAGATAAGTAAGTATATTAAAGCACATTGTTATATTAAAGCTCTGATTGATTACATTGACAGCTTGATTAGTAATTTAAACAAGATTAATAGACACCATACAGCAGATTGACAGCACATATAAGACAGCAATGATCACAATGGTAAAGATGTTCAGAATGGGTACATAAAGATTGGGAGACTGGGTAGCAAAAGATACAGATAAACAAGATTTATAAACACCATACAATAGAATGGCAGCACATATAAGAAAACAGCAATGATCTCAATGGTAAAGATGTTCAAATTGGGAACAAAAAGGTTGGGAGATTGGGTAGCAATAGATACAGTGCAATTTTAAGGCAAAAGAGAAAAACTATGAAGATGAAATTAGGTACTTTTTAGTATTGATTTTGAATGATGTAAAAGTTGGACAGCTTTTCAATTCAGTAGGGAGTGAATTCCATAAACTGGGTCCCTTTATTTGCATAGAGTGTTTACACAAATTAAGTTTAACTCTGGGGATATCGAAGAGATATTTATTTCTGGTGTGGTGATAATGGGTCCTATTACATCTGTCCAGGAAGAGTTTCAGACAAGGATTTGCATTTTAGAATAGGGTTTTGTAAATGTAGTTGACACAAGAGAATTTGTGAAGTGAGATTATGTTTAGCATGTTTAGGGAGTTAAACAAGGGGGCTGAGTGTTGTCTGAAAGCAGAATTTGATATTATTCTGATAGCAGATTTTTGCTGGGTGATGATGGACTTGAGGTGGTTTGCAGTGGTTGAACCCCATGCACAGATACCATAGTACCCCAAAAAGCACTAACGATGCACTTATTAGTATGCTTAACTCGATTCATACAGCTCTTGATCAAAATGAGTTCCCTGTTGGGTTATTTGTGGACCTGCGTAAAGCTTTCGATACTGTCAACCACCAAAACCTTCTTCTTAAATTACATCATTGTGGTGTCAGAGGACACTCCCTACAATACCTCAAATCCTACCTTACTGACAGGCTCCAATGTGTTTCTGTGAATAATACAATTTCGCCCACCCTACCCATCAACATTGGTGTTCCCCAGGGCAGCATACTTGGCCCTCTCCTCTTTCTCATCTACATTAATGACCTTCCAAATGCCTCCCAACACCTCAAACCAATCCTATTTGCTGACGACACAACCTTCATTTACTCCAGTCCTGATCCCCTTGCTCTAAATGCCACAGTAAATACTGAGCTAAATAAAGTCCATCTGTGGCTAACTGCCAACAAACTCACCCTTAACATTGACAAAACTTTCTATATTCTGTTTGGCAATAAATCCTCTAATCAAATAAATCTCAAAATAAACAATACCCAAATTTGTAACAAATTAGATGGCAAATTCCTTGGCATTCTCATTGACCACAAGCTGAATTTCCAGGGACACATTCTAAATATATAAAAAGAAGTTTCAAAAACTGTGGGCATTCTTTCTAAGATCAGATATTATGTACCACGCCCTGCCCTGGTGACTCTCTATTACTCCCTTATCTATCCATATCTCAACTATGGTATTTGTGCTTGGGGCTCTACTACCCAAAATCACTTACGTCCTCTAATTACTCAACACAAAGCTGCTATTAGGACAATATCCAATTCTGGCCCCAAACATCACTCGGTACCCCTATTCAAATCCCTGAATATGTTAGACATTAAGTCACTGCACATTCTCTCATGTGTACTATACATATACAAAACGCTAAATTGTAATGCCAATCCTGATCTCAAAAGCTTCATAGAAGGTTGTAACAGAACCCATGAGCACCACACCAGAAATAAATACAGTTTTGATATTCCTAGAGTACGACTTAATCAAACCAGAAATGCTCTACAAATCAAGGGGCCCAGGATGTGGAATGACCTTCCCAACCATGTTAAAGACAGTACCTCTCTCAACCAGTTTAAGTTAAAAACGAAGCTATACCTAATAAATTCCCTGTAACGTACCTTACCTCTCTATTGTCAACCCATGTCTGTTTTTTTTTTTTTTTGTTTTACAAATCAACGCTGTTTTAATGTAATTTTCTGTAATAATTTGTAATTGTATTTGTGCTGTTTTTTCAACAATGTTCCCCCCTCTTTTACCTCTATTTTTATTTGTACTCAACGCATTTTTTTCTTTTTACCCATTAGTTTTAAGCTTTAGTCAGTAGTGTTTTTACCTGCCCGAAACGCTTTGCGTAATAGTGGCTTTAGGCATTGTATGTACTAGCTCTTATCTATAAAGCCAACAAACTTTGTAAAATCTCTTTATGTATGTACCTTTGCCTAAATAAAAATTATTATTATTATTATATTATTATTATTATTATTATTATAGTTGAGATAGGGATAGATTAGTGCATAATATAGAGAGATGAGAGCAGAGTTAGGAACATAATATCTGATTTTGGAGAGTATACCAACTGTTTTAGAGACTTTCTTAGTTATGTGTTGTATGTGGGTACTGAAGTTGAGTCTCTTGTCTAGGAATAGGCAAGGAAACTTTCCATCATTTTTATTGCTAATGTTTACATTGTCAATCTGATTTTTATCAAGAGCGGTATGAATCGAGTTAAGCATACTAATAAGTGCATCGTTAGTGCTTTTTTTGGGCCTGAAGCCATATTGGCAAGGGCTAAGTATATTGAGTTTGGCTAGATATGAGTAAAGCTGCTTATAGATTAGTTTTTCAAAAATTTTTGACAAGTTTGGCAGGATTGATATAGGTCTGTAGTTGTTAACATCTGTGGGGTCACCACATTTGTGGACAGGCGTTACTCTCGCTTTTTTTTAGAATACCTGGAAAGGTTTGGAGTTCAAGTGACTTGTTGAAGAGCAAAGCAATAGCAGGGGCTAAAGATCTGGAGGCTTTTTTGTAGATTAAAGTTGGTATTTCCTCAAGGGCACCAGACTTGGTTTTAAGGGAAAGGATTATCTCATTGACGTCAGTGGAATTAATAGGCTTTAGGTACAGAGACTGTGGATAGTTACCTGTAAGATAGTCCTTAATGTCAGTACTGGAAGATGGAATATCATTAGCAAGGGATGAACCAATGGAAGAGAAGAACCTATTGAACTCAATAGCAGAATCAGAGGCTGAAAGCTGCCATCGTTATTAGACAGGAGAGTCGGTTTGTTATTTAAAGACTTCTTTGATCGCAATAATTGTGAAATTGTTCTCCAAGTTTGTTTAATGTTGCTCTTTATTTGAGTAAATTTATCTTCGTAGTATTTAGTTTTGGCTCGTCTAATTATCTTAGATAGCAATAATGAGTAATTCTTTGAGAATTCTTTGGAGACAATTCCTAACCTATACTTCTTCTCAAGGTCATGTTTTTTATTAATAGATTTAAGTATTCCCTTTGTAAGCCAGGGATTGTTAAGCCTTTTGGTTGTGACTTGTTTTGTAAGCATAGGACAGTGGGTATTATAAAGGCTAAGAGTTTTTTGAAGAAAAGATTGCACTGCTAGGTTGATGTCCTCTATGTTACCTAACTCGGACTCCCAGTTGACATTATCAGTAGCAGTTATAAAATTGTCTATAGCAGTTTCATTGTGTAGTCTAAAACGTATCTCTCTTGACTCAAGAGGTGGTTTGCTAATGTTAGTTAAGAGAAATGTGGGGTAATGGTCTGTAGTGCTATCGGTGATTATACCTGAAGTAAGCGGAGAGGTTATGTTTGTCCAGATGTGATCTAGAGTCGTGGCAGTGCTATCAGTGATTCTAGTAGGTCTAGTGATTAAGGGTATGAGGAAGCAGGAATTCATACAGTTGAGGAAGCTAACAGCAGTGGGGTGTTCAGGCTCGCAGAGGTCAATATTAAAGTCCCCTGCGATAATTAGGTGGTTTTTGTTCAGTCTGTTATCAAGTATTAGATTTCTAAGGTTTGAGTTGAATTCGGACACATCAGTGTTAGGAATTCTATTTTTAATTCTATTAGGAATCAGAATTCTATTAGGAATTTATAAAATTTAGATCATAAAATTTAGACTATAAAATTTAGATCAGAATTCTATTAGGAATTCTGATCATCTTCCGAGGGATCCTCCAGAATACTGGCGAGCGTTATGTTATTACATTTTTCATCTTCCACATTATTTTGACGTTCGTTTGGTACATCACTGCGCAGTACCTCTGGCAACACACTTGAGCCGCACAAATCGTTGCCCAAGATGACATGTACTCCAGGAATGGGTATGTCCGAGCACACTCCTAACATCACTTCATCTGTAAAGTAATCAGAGGTTAGCTTTACTGTACACACAGGTATATGCATCTCTGAATTTATACCCAGTACCTTAATTATTTATCCATTTATACAAGATCTGTACTCAGGAATCAAGCTTTTCAGTATTAAGCTCTGATTACAATACAATACAATACAATTTTATTTAGGTAAGGTACATACATACAATAAATATTTACAAGGATTGTTTAACTTATAGGTATAGCTAGTACATACAATGCCTAAAGCCACTATTACGCAAAGCGTTTCGGGCATGATAAACTTAAATGACAAGCTTAATACTAATTGAGCATAATGAGTAGAATGAAAACAAGAAATGAAAAAATAGATGAAAAAGCAGCACAAATACAATTATGTCGACAAACAGCGCTCTTTAAAGAAAAAAACAGACATTGGTTAACAATAGAAGGGTAAGGTAGGTTACAGGGAATTTATTAGGTATAGCTTCGCTTTTAACTTAAACTGGTTGAGAGAGGTACAGTCTTTAACATGGTTGGGAAGGTCATTCCACATTCTGGGCCCCTTGATTTGTAGAGCATTTCTAGTTTGATTAAGTCGTACTCTAGGAATATCAAAACTGTATTTATTTCTGGTGTGATGCTCATGGGTTCTGATACAACCTTCTATGAAGCTTTTGAGATCAGGATTGGCATTATAGTTTAGCGTTTTATATATGTATAATACACATGAGAGAATGTGCAGTGACTTAATGTCTAACATATTCAGAGATTTAAGTAGGGGTACCGAGTGATGTCTGGGGCCAGAATTGGATATTGTCCTAATAGCAGCTTTGTGTTGAGTAATTAGAGGACGTAAGTGATTTTGGGTAGTAGAGCCCCAAGCACAAATACCATAGTTGAGATATGGATAGATAAGGGAGTAATAGAGAGTCACCAGGGCAGGGCGTGGTACATAATATCTGATCTTAGAAAGAATGCCCACAGTTTTTGAAACTTTTTTTGATATGTTTAGAATGTGTCCCTGGAAATTAAGCTTGTGGTCAATGAGAATGCCAAGGAATTTGCCATCTAATTTGTTACAAATTTGGGTATTGTTTATTTTGAGATTTATTTGATTAGAGGATTTATTGCCAAACAGAATATAAAAGGTTTTGTCAATGTTAAGGGTGAGTTTGTTGGCAGTTAGCCACAGATGGACTTTATTTAGCTCAGTATTTACTGTGGCATTTAGAGCAAGGGGATCAGGACTGGAGTAAATGAAGGTTGTGTCATCAGCAAATAGAATTGGTTTGAGGTGTTGGGAGGCATTTGGAAGATCATTAATGTAGATGAGAAAGAGGAGAGGGCCAAGTATGCTGCCCTGGGGAACACCAATGTTGATGGGTAGGTTGGGAGAAATTGTATGGATTCGCTCCTGTGTCACGTAATATTGTGACTTGTTGATCAGGCTGACCCCCAATGCTCACCATACCTTTGCTAATGAAAGGGTTATATCCTTTCGTAATGGACATCTTCTCCTGGGGCAATTCCTCCTTTAAATTTATATAAGGACTTCTGTATTTACTTACTGTGAGGGACACCACTCTTCTGCCTTGCCTACACTCTCTACTTAAGTGTCCAGGCTTGTTACATGTGTAGCATATTACCTGAGAAGAGAATCCTCGTCCTCTCGAACCACGTTGTCCATTATAATAGGATTCGCCACGTCTCCACTGTCCTGTACCTCGATATCTAGACGTTGTATTTCCTCCCTGACCCGAGGGTGCGCTAGCCTGACCCTCGAATGCGTCACCTCCCGACGGAGAAAATTCCACATACCCCTGACTTTGTCGGGCTATCGGCTTGCCAGTATATCCACGACCATCTCTATTGTTCCACGTATACCGTCTTTTACTACCCTGCAACTTTGCGTGACCTTTTTCTTCATATTCCTGGAGACTTCTGTAAGCTTCCGTAATTACATCTACTTTGTCCGCTGCTTCTAAGAGTGTTTTTATTCCTGCTTCTTGAACCTTAAACCTGGTGTCTGGAGTCACCATCTCCAAGAATTTTTCCATTAACATCAATTGTTTCAAGTCTTCGAAAGATTCTACCTTTTCGGAACCCATCCATCTTTGGAATCTACGTTCCAAATCTCTGGCTGTTTCAGCATATGTGCTCCTCTGTGTCTTTACCATTTCTCTGAACCGCTTCCGGTAAGCTTCAGGTGTTAGTAGAAGTGACCTTAATACGCTGTTTTTCACAGTCCAGTAATTTTTACAATCTTCAAGAGAGAGCTGGGTATAGGCCTCTCTCGCTGCCCCAGTCAATCTTATTTGCACCAATTGGGCCCAATCCTCCTCTGGCCACTGCTTTAGTGTAGCAACTTTTTCAAAATGCTCAAAAAAAGACTCAGACTCTTCTGGACAAAATTGCGGAACCTCCTTTTCACGTGCCTTGTGATCATATGCTGCAGGCACAGGTGTGCTCTCCGAGTGTACCTCTCGCTCTCGCCTCTGAGCAGCCACAAATTTATTTGCTTCGATTTCCATTTGCTTCGTTTTCTCCTTTTCTAATTCTACACGCGTTTTTTGCTCACTTTCAAGTCTCACTTTCTCCAATTTCAGTTTCTCTAACTGAAACTGTCTCTCTTCCCTCTTAATTTGAGCTTCCAGTTTCAAACGTTCCAATTCATATTCTAAACTTCCACTCCTACGAGACGAATTAGAAGACACTTCCCCATTATCTTGTTCCCCACTTTCCTTTGCACTCACATCTAATCCTACCGCTCTGACGTCTTCGCGTCGAGACCTTACTTTATTTCCAAGTTCTTGTCTCATATAGACCACTTTAGTCGACACTAATTCTATCTCATAGTGTTCGGCGATTTGCTTCAGCTGTTCTTTCGTACAGCTCTCCAAAATCAATGGGTCCTCTTTTGTTATAAATTCTTGGACACGATCCATGATGAAAACTTTGCCTGGCTGGACACCTAGATGACTAGCAATGGGTGCTGCAAGTGTACACAGTGTGTCTTGCTCAAAACAATCCCGGACAGGCCCCCATATGTGTTGGGATCGAACTGTCGACAACCCAACACATTTAATATAGGTTTATTCTGAGTGTTTATCCTTGGCTTCGTTGTCCCATAACGGGGTACATGAATCTGAACAGGTGTCAGCCTCAGCCGGACCTGTTGTCAGGTGCTACACACTTTGTGCTGAGGTCTGACAAAGGACAAGAAAATAAGATGGTATAAAACTTCATCATGGATATATTGTGATATATCTCTAATCACCTTATATACAATATTTTACATGTATATATATATGTGTGCATTGTACACAAGTACAGTTAAATATATATATAGAGAGAGATACTACGACCATGCTACGGTCGTCTCTTGTCTGATTGATCTTCCCACTTATAAATCATCTACTTTCCTGCAATTTGTACCTCTATCAGGAAAATCAGCGCGTTACCTCCACACCGACCTCTAAATCTCAAAGCTGTTATCTTCCATAACTTTCAAGAACGTCGACCATGCCTCGAGGTCCTCTTCCTTCATGAGGGTGGAGCACACTAACAGTTGGGTCCGTTGGTCACACATCCAAACGCGACGACAGCCTGTTGACTCAATGGAGGGGAGTAGATGTCTGTCTCTCCACATGCTCCGGCCAGCACACGTTACCTCGCCCGGTGGTTCTGATTGGCTAACAGAAATTCCCACCACCGGACGAGCCATACCGTGCTGACAGTTAACGACCTCCATGGTTGTTAACCTCGTTCTTCCTGTAATAATGAACGTATGACTTAAATAATCGTGCCTTTATGCGATGAAATAACACGATACGATATATCGTAACACCTAGTACTGATGACGTGTCTGATTACAGAGTCGACCTGGGACTGCTGTAGTGGACGTTAGAGCAGTCTACCCAAGGCAGCTGTAGTATCTTCACGCATTTGCTGCCGAAGCTGTGAGTCACCCCCCGGATGAACACTGTTGTGTTAGCCTGTCTGTGAGGTGGCAGAACCAGGGATTGTCGTACCTGGGGCTGACTGGCGGAGAAGACTAGCCACTGGGGTGTTGTGGTGAGGAGAGTGATCTGTGGAATCACACGAGGCTCCTGCCTAGGGCTCGCAACCCTAGTATCGGTCGTGGAGTGGCCTACTCAGCGTAGCTGATTGGAACCTGCCAGCTACAGGCGGGATTTGTGGTTGAAGGCCTCCACAACGGTGCACCCAGTGGGACTGTGATTGGGCTGGCCTGTGGCTGAGGTAGACTCGCTAAGAGAATCTAAGGATTCGTCGAGAGGCCATGAGAAGAGGACCAAGGGCTAAGCATCGTTGAGCACCGTGGAGCATCCCGTGTCTTCGAAGAAGAAGAAGTTATTGTAAATAAGTGTAGTAATAGCAACCCCGCGTGTGACGTTTATGTATTTATTTATGGTGGTGGAATAATTATATATTTAATTTTGTGCAGTTTTATCCCTTCCCCTTTAATTTACTTGCGTTACGGAACACACCCCTTGAAAGCCACTACTAACTTGGGGCCGGATATCCAAACTCTACTAACATCAGAGAAAGAACCCAGTTGCGACCCAATAGGACCGTAACATAATTGGCATCCCCAGCGGGATCCGACCCTTTGTCAAGTATGTTTGACAGGGGTGGTGAAGTGGCGCAATCCCTGTAAATAATTCCCCCTGCGTGTGACTATTAGGACGTTATACGTCCTGTGCGGTGCTCGGTGTGATTCAGTGCAATATTGTGTAGTGCGGTGCCCGGTGTAATTACGTGCAATATTGGCAAGTGAGGCGCTAAGTGCGATAAAGTGCAATATTGACGTAGAACAGTGCTCAGTGCGTTAAGTGCTAACGTGAAAGCGGTGTGTTAAGTGCTAGTGTTCCATCTAAGTGACAATGACAGAAAAAGCGACCATCGACGATCTGGACGATGTTCAGGATTTTCTGAACAGGGAGGACTGTCTTGCCAGATTGAAATATCTGGGAAAACAGGAACTCGTACTGGTGAGTGCCTACCTGGAGATCAAGATACGTGCCAGTGATTCCCGTGTGGAGATCTTGTCCAAGGTTCACCGGCATTTGAAGGCCGAAGAAAAACAGGAAGGTGAGGCACAAAGTACAAAAGAAGGTGAGGAAATAGCTTCCACTGAAAAGGAAGATAAAGGCAGTGACATTGACAGCGATGTAGGTGAGCTGAATATAAGCTTGCTAACTGTAAAGATGCGTGCCTTGGAAATAAATCGCGAGATAGAATGGAAGAAATTAGAAATGGAAAGAGAGAAACAAGATAAAGAATTAGAGATGAGGCGTTTAAAATTAGAACGAGAAAGAGAAAGAGAAGAAAGAGTAAGAGAAGTACGAGTAAGAGAAAGAGAAGAACGAGAAAGAGAAAGACAAGAGCGAGAAAAAGAATGAGAAAGAGAAGAGAAACGAGAGAGAGAAGAACGAGAAAGAGAAGAGAAACGAGAGGGAGAAGAACGAGAAAGAGAAGAACGAGATAGGCAAGAACGACGAGACAGAGAGGAAAGAGAGAGACAACATGAGCTAGAAGTATTGCGGTTAGGCGGTGGTAGGCAAAGAATGGAAACAAGTATTTTCGATCCGGTGAGGAACATCAAAATGGTCCCAAAATTCAATGAGAAGGAAGTGTCGAAGTTCTTCGCAGCCTTCGAGAAAGTCGCAGCCTCTTTGGAGTGGCCAAAGGAGAATTGGGCCATCATGATACAGTCTGTCTTGACTGGGAAGGCCCAAATCGCCTACTCCACGTTGTCCCTTGATGACTCTGGCGATTACGATAAGGTGAAGAAGGTAGTGCTCATGGCTTACCAATTGGTACCTGAGGCTTACAGGGAGAAGTTCAGAAACCTGAAAAAGACCTCAGAGCACACTTTCACCGAATTCGCGACGGCTTTTCCAGGAATGGTGTGCCTCTCGGAAGGTGGAGACCAAAGAAGACCTCGAGCAGCTCATACTGTTAGAGGACTTCAAAGACTGTCTGTCTGGAGACCTGAAGACGTACTTGGAAGAGCAGCAGGTGGAGACCTTGAGTGCGGCAGCCACCATGGCTGAAGAGTACATCTTAACGCATAGGCCTTCTGCTAAGTATGTCCCAAGGAATTACCCTCGCCGGTTTGACAAACCTCATCAGGAAGAGGAGACCCCCGTCCCCCAAAGTGCTAAGAAGACGCCCCCAAGTAGCCCTCGAAGGACCAGTCCTAACAGCCCGAAACACCGGAGTCCAAGGAGGAATATGGTGTGCTGGACTTGTGGGCAGAAAGGGCATGTAGCTGCTATGTGCCGAGGCAGAAGAGGTAGCGGCCCACGTAGGGAGGTGATGTTGATGAGCTGTGTGACACCACCAGCAGGAAGCCAGTCTACGACTACGCAGGAAGAACCAAGATTGTTTTCCCCTCACACTTCAAGCGGGTATGTATCAAGTGATCATACTGGTAGATCAGTGGTAGTGCTCAGGGATAGTGGAGCAGCCCAGTCCCTGATCGTGAGAAACTCGTTACCCGAGGGAGTGAGTGTGGACGGGAGACAAAAGGTTGTCCTGGTTGGGTTTCCTAGGACGCAGTACATGGCCCCCTTAGTGCCGATACATCTCGACTTGCCTTACTTCAGCGGCACATGTGCGTTGGCAGTAGTCGATACCCTTCATATAGCTGGGATTGACTTGGTACTAGCCAACGACTTGGTGACAGATTGGAGCAACAATCATCCCAAGATTGTGGACGAGTCAGCCGGAACAGCAAGGTCCGAGGTAACAGCAGGCAGTGGTAATGTCCGGGTACAGACAGACCCGGAACTAAATAATATGTTTAATTTGTCCTCTACCCGATAGATTGAGAACGTTCTAGCAGAGTCTCCTGAATCGTTTCCCGACAAGAAGCATGCGGTTATGATGGCAGAAGCGACTGAGCGAGAAGAGAGGCCTTGTGTGCAAGCACCCACGGATACCAAAGAGTCTGGAGCGAAGGCGGATGAGTACTTGCGGTATGGCAAGGTACAGCGTTCATTGAACCGGCCAGAGATTCCCCAGACGTCGGAGGTATGTGAGGTATGTGCAAAGGTTTTAGTGCCCTCTTCGGTCCAAACCAGGCTAATGGTTATAGCCGGCTATGGACATTACAGGCTCAGGAAGCTTATCCCTCAGTTAACCAAATGTTTTCTAGCGGTATTTTGTTTTATTCTTGTGTGTGTTCTCAGTAAGGACCAGTGGACGACCCGACAGATGATGACTCCCATGAACATCGTGAAGAGATCCCAGGGATTAGAGACGTGCACAGTGAGTGTTGCAGTCAAAGAAGGGACCTGGAAGGTGATGATAGATACAGGAGGTACGAGAGGTGATATTATGAGTGACTGTATCTGACAGGTTGACACCCCCTGCATGATTGCCGAGCCTGGAGGTAGCGTTATGCAGAACGTTGGTCGACCTGACAGTGGTAGAGCGGACACCTTCTTCAATGTACGAGCAGCCCTGTTGGGACTAGGTGTGAGCCTAGTGGAGGTATATGCTGTGAGTACTGATTTACCCATCACTGTCACTCTAAATTATCAGACCCCTGTATTCCAGGTTCCCGTCTCCCTGAAGGACTACCGGACCGGTACCAGAAATGCCATCTGTGACCAGCCATCATCGGTGCCACGACACAGGGAAGTGTCGAGTCGCCCCAGGTCGTGTTTATACCAATCCTTACTCGGGACACGTGAGATTATGCCCCTGCTTGACATCGCAGTGGAGGTGTGGAAGATTACATCAGGCAGGTCATTGCCTTCCATCTTCTCATTAGGACAGTTCTGTGGACAAGACATCCTCGCCATTCCAGTTCTGAGTGTATGTGAGTCCGTGTGGAGTTGTATCCACGTACTAATTTGGTTTGTCTTTTCTTTTATAGAGACCCAAACCAAATTCTCTTTGGTGGGGAGGTGTT